TTCAGAAGAACTTTGATTTTTGGTATCAAGATATTATTTATTTTTTCAATTAAATTTAAGAATCTTGCTAAAACTTTGCTTTTATTGATGCAGCATACTTCACTATGCAGAATGAGATAAGGATCTTCAAGATATTTCAGTAGGGCTTGAAAAATTGGTCTTCTAAAGAAGCTATTCGAATAAAGTATACTTACTTCTGTAGCTATTTTCATGAGGTGTCCGAAGGGTAGTATTCTACCACACAAAGCTTCCGGATTGATGATGCAATGATATGACATAACGTTTCGAAATGATTTATCTTTCTTGCGTAGGACAGTAAATCTGTTAAGATAACTATCCGTTGCTGATCAAACCAGATCTGGTAAGCTCATTTAAGATGATAAACACATGAAGTCTGGTAAGCTCATTTAAGATGATAAACACATGAATACAAACAAATATTTTTAACAAATACGATTACATTTATTTAATTAATTACTAAAATAATTGCATAACATTTTATTGAAAACTTTAATATTTTTTTTTTCGTGGTCCCATAGTAGCGGGCATAGAGTTGTGGACCCTTGCTCTAAATCAGGATTTTCAATTTGGGCGGGGGGGGGGTTACAGCTTCAGGGGGATTAAAGTGGTCAGCATTTTATTTATTCTTTATTTAGTTTTAGTTCATCAAAATAAAAACTACCTTTATTAGTTTCGGTATTTATCAATATTTTATGTACCTTTTTGTTCTTTAATTTATAATAGTATGTTAAAAATAATCTAAATCATAATAAGTGTACCGGGTGATCAAAAAGTCAGTATAAATTTGAAAACTTAATAAATCACGGAATAATGTAGATAGAGAGGTAAAAATTGACACACATACTTAGAATGACATGGGGTTTTATTAGAAAAGCAATAATCTGATCAGAAAATCAATAATTAGCATAACAAATTAAGACAAAGCAAAGATGATGTTCTTTACAGGAAATGCTCAATATGTTCAACATCATTCCTCAACAATAGCTGTAGTCGAGGAATAATGTTGTGAACAGCACTGTAAAGCATGTCCGGATTTACGGTGACGCATTGGCGTCGGATGTTGTCTTTCAGCATCCCTAGAGATGTCGGTCGATCACGATACACTTGCGACTTCGTGTAACCCCAAAGCCAATAATCGCACGGACTGAGGCCTGGGGACCTGGGAGGCCAAGCATGACGAAAGTGGTGGCTGAGCACACGATCATCACCAAAAGACGCGCGCAAGAGATCTTTCACGCGTCTAGCAATATGGGGTAAAGCGCCATCCTACATAAAAATCGTAAACTTTTTTAAACTTTTTTTTTTGGTTCTAATAAAACCCCATGTCATTCTAAGTATGTGCGTCAATTTTTACCTCTCTATCTACATTATTCCGTGATTTATTAAGTTTTCAAATTTATACTGACTTTTTGATCACTCGGTATATCTATTTTTTGAGTTTAGAAACAGAGGAGGAATGATCTTGTAGCAATGTTGAAAGAGGTGCATCAAACAAAAATCGTCGAGAACCACTTCTCTAGCCTGACCATTGTCACCATGCAATACGTATCAAGGGGTCCACTCATATTGTTAATTTCGCTGTCGAACTAAATGTTATGTATTTTAAATAAATGTACAGAGAATGAGATCTAAAACTTGTTTTTAAGAGCAGAAATTAAATTATATCTGCATCAGTACTATCATTCATTTTCAACGTGTCGTATTTGTCATATTGTTTTGGTTCTGGTGTTTTTTGAATGATTCATCAGGTTCTTTCATGTTTATATTTAATTTTCCGCTCCTATGTCTGCAACTGGTAACTGACAACAAATTCACTTCAAGTAGCGCTCATGTCACTTAAAATTATCATAATTTACGTTAAGTTATTGTTTTCTTACTGTTTATATGTACGCACTAATGTACAATAATCGAATCAACGAATGTCGCTGCCTACGCATCTAACTATGAATCTAACGACGTATCTAAATGCCACATCTAAATTTCTGCAAGCGGTGGTTCAGTTATAATTCTATGATAAAATACTCAATCTAAGTTTTAGAAGGATTTATTAAATACTAAACAAATTATATAATCTAGAATCTAGAATCGAATCTAATGTTACATCTCATGATCAGCGTTCTAGCTGCGTCATAACGATCGAAAGTCAAATTCTCACTGTTTCCATTTCGAGGCAGAGAAAAGTTTGTTTCTAATGAAACCAGAACATCGGCATAGTGAAAGTTTCTAGTCAAACCGGAACATGCCGGCCCCGTTGGACAATTGTCCAACATCATTTGGAAATGGGAGTGGACTGATATTGGAGACGGCTCGACGAAAGATTCCATCTGAGGTTCTGACGTCTACGACTCGTACTAACCCATCTGTACCAGGAAAGGCCTCCTCAATGCGAGCTAGTGTGCACTTCATGGGTGTCTTGTTTTCCTCCTTTAACAAGACTAGTTGTCCTGCCTTCAGATTGGATCTCACTCGATTCCATTTTGAGCGGTTCTGCAAATGATTAAGATATTCCACGCTCCAACGATTCCAGAAATTAGCTCTAAGTTTTTGAACTAAGGTCCATCTAGAAGACAAGGTCAAAGAATTTACATAATCATTCAGTTCTGGTACCGACAAAAGTGGAGCTCCTATTAGGAAATGACCTGGAGTCAAAGGCGGAAGATCTGTTGTATCAGCCGAAATAGGTGATAGAGGTCGAGAGTTCAAGCAGGCTTCTATTTGTGTAATTAATGTATACAGCTCTTCAAACTTTAAAATTGTCGTTTTCGCGAACTTTGTCAAAATTCTCTTCATTGATTTTATATTAGCCTCCCATAATCCGCCAAAATGCGGGGAAGAAGGAGGAATAAATCTCCATGTTATACTTTCTTCGGAACTAAAGCGTTGAATGGGATCCGATCTACAAATTCTAAAGAGTTTATGAAGAACATACTTCGTTCCCTTGAAGTTCGTAGCGTTATCATTCCAAACAATGGATGGTTTAGATCGTCTGGCAATAAACCTTCTAAGACATGCTAGAAAAGCTTCAGCAGACAAATCCGATACTACTTCTAAATGAATAGTCTTTGTACTAAAGCAAATAAATGTCGCGATGTATGATTTTAACGTACCCTATATCTTTTCAAATTAGGCTTGGTGATAACTGGACCTGCAAAGTCCAGTCCTATTTTTTCGAATGGTCTAGTTATTACAACTCTATCTCTAGGTAAGTCTCCCATCATTTGGTTTATGGTTTGGTTCCTTGTCCGAAAGCACGTCAGGCATTTATTTATAACGCGTCTAACTCTGTCTTGTCCGGAAGGTATCCAGTATAACTGTTTAATAATAGAAAGTGTTGTTTGAACTCCCGAATGAAGAGATTTCTTGTGATAATAATCTATGAGTAATTCAGTGAAATGATGTCTTTTGGGTAAAAGGAGTTGATGTTTCTGGTCTTCTGAAAGATTGGAAAGACTCAATCTCCCACCAACTCGTAAAAGTTTATCTTCATCAAGAAATAATTTAAGGATAAAACCTTATTATTACTTGGAACTGATCGTTTCGGCTGCAGGCACTTAATTTCAGGTTGAAATTCAGAATGCTGTACACATTTGACTAGCACCTTTGTTGCATTCTGTAGTTCAGAAGCACTCAAAAAACTTTCTTTTCGTAATGGTGGATTGGTTCTACAGTTGTTAGCAAACCTTAAACACCATGCAGTAGTTCTAATCAATTTGTTAAATGATGAATACATTTTAATGAATTCGTTCTCAATGGAATTTTCACCTGTGACTGTTGAGTTCACTACAGCTTTCCCTCGAAGTTCAAGCTCTTCATTATCTTTGAAATCTCTTACTGATTCTGGAAGCTTTGGCCACGAATCGATGCTCTGTAATAGCCACTTAGGTCCATGCCGCCACATGTCACTGTTTCGTAATTCAGATAACGTTATTCCTTTCGTGGAATTTGTCTTCGTTCCTCTGGTCAGCATATCAGCCGGATTCCATCTCCAGGGCAATAATTCCAGAACTCAGGTGATGTTTTCTCTCGTATTTCCATTACTCGATGTTGGATGAATGGTTTCTATTTATTTAAATCGCCCTTTATCCAATGCTCTTTCACATTTGAGGCTAATCTTGCTCCGATGAGAGCCCCCATCAGCTCTAATCTTGGAAGGGACAGCTTCTTCAGTGGAGCTACTCTGGTTTTGGAAATGACAAAACTACTTCCTATTTCACTGTCCATCGTGACGTACCGCAGGTATATCTCAGCTCCATATGCCTTCTGACACTTGCGTCAGTAAAGCAATGCATTTGAATATCTCTCAATTCAGACTTGTTAGCCTTTCGGAAGTAATATCGCGGAATGTTTACATCCTGAATCGCTGACAGTTCATTAATCCATTTTTTCATTCTGTTTTCAAAGTACAATGAACGGATCATCCCAATCTACTCCAAGTTGCCAAATTTCCTGCATTAGTATTTTTACCCTAATAGTGAATGGACTTATAAATCCAATGGGATCGTAAAGCTTTCCAATGGTTTTAAGAACTTCTCTTTTTGTCATTAACTTTGTTTTCCCTTGAGTTTGATTAGTTAGATTTTGTGATTCTATCTTCAGAAGGCCTTAATTCTAATTCCATTTATATCCCAATACCTTCTGTTCCAGAACTTTCTGGATTTCACCATTTTCGTATTCGTCAAAAACTTCCTGAAAATTTCCACAATTTGTTTTCCACTTTCGCATGTTGAAACCAGCAGCCTTCAATATATATCTAATATCTTCATATATGAGTTTAGCTTCGTTTTCGTCTTCATCACCACCTATTAAATCGTCTACGTATAAACATTCGTTCAATAGTTTAACTGCTTTCTGATTTGTTTTCTTTAAAGGTATCTATCTATGTGATGTCTTTGATAGTAGCGGTAAGCAAAAATCAGCTGGATGTAGCTCCAAACAAAACGCGAGTCATCCTAAGTATTTTCGTGTTAGGTTTCCCATCCTTATCTCATTTTATTATCAAGGTTATTTGCCCACAAAAATCTTACAGCATCCCTATCTTCAGGTGACAGAGAAATCTGAAGAAAGGCTTGTTCAATGTCGGCAGTAAATGCTATGCTATGTGTACGAAATTGTATTAATATCTCTAACAATGGTGGATTTAAATTAGGACCGGAATAGAGACAATCGTTTAAAGAATATTCGTTTTTCCAATGGCTGGATGCATTAAATACAACTCTCATGGGTTTGTAAAGTCGAATAACTGGCTGGTGAGACATGTAATAAATTCTTTCTGTTTCTTCAGAACTTGGATTAATTTCCTCAGCTATACCCATTTTTAAATGCTGTTCTATAACTGAGTGATACTGCTGATGAAGCAGTGGATCATTTCTCAACCTTTTAATCAGTTTATTAAAGCGAACTTTTGCATTTACGTAATTCGTTTTTAATTCAGACGAATGTTCATTCCAAGGGAGTTTAACCTCATATCGCGTTTCTTTAAATTTGATAGTTCCGTTAAAATTCTCTAAAATGTAATTATCTATTTTGCTAATTTCCTTCCCTTGTTCAACTCCCAATGTTTCTAATTCTCAAAACTGCTTTAACTGTGTTGAGACCAATTTGTCGTCAACAATAATGTCCATGTTTAACAATTCACCGTTAGAAACAGTACGACCTTGAAGACACCATCCACATATTGTTTCGGAAGCTATAAGTTTATTTTTAAAACATTTAAGTCTACCAGTTATTATTTCATGATAGTAATCTACTCCGATCAAAACAGCAATATTTTTGTCATTGAATTCACAAGAATCAGCTGACTGTAATCCTATTAACTCTTTGTTAATTTTGGAAACTGGGATATCAGGGAAACGTAAATTAGCTGCACATATTTGGTTAGTTTCTAAAGCTTCAATTTCTATATTTAGGGATGGTTTGTTTCTGTTTTCTAGTTTGACTTTCACAACATTGTAAGTTTGTTCTATTGGCTGGTTAACCCCAAAGGCAAATACGGACAAAGTTTCCTTTCGAATAACAGATAATTTACACTTCTCTGAAATGTCCCGAATTATAAAACTTCTCATCTATCCATTGTCTAATAGAATACGAACTGGTTCTAAATTATCCTTATCAGAAAATGGACGTATCATCACAGTGCACGTCTGTAGCAGCGCACTGCGGAAAGTTTCGGTTTTTAATTGACTAATCTGAATATCTTCTTTACTGGATGGAATTGACGACACGACCTTGTTTTTCTCTGATTTGATTTCGAGTTGGAAACAAATAGACCTATTGTGTTTTTATTACATATTTCGCACATTTTTCTTTGCTTACACTGCTTAATTTTATGCTAAGATATTAGGCACAAAAAACATCGGGCTTGAGATTTCAAAATATTTCGTTTCTCCTCCACGGTTTTAATTTCACAGCGCTCCGAATCGTGTAGTTCGTCACAATATATGCATTTACTCCTAGCGACTGGAGCAATACCTTAGACACATTCATACGTTTTCGGCGAATTTTTTTCAAACTGTTTATTGCACTTGTTGTTTACATTATCCTGAGCGGAGTGGAGACGATCGTTTGATTTATGCCTTCAGTTATGAATCATTTCCGCTCGGTGTTTTGTTTTTGTTTCTCTCTCATTTAACTGCGTAGCTCTTTCGATTTCTTTACAAATAAATTCCATCAATTCGTTAACGGTCCATGTTTGGTCACTGTTTCTACTGCGACTGTATTCTAATGTAATCTCTGATGGAATTAATTTTAACAATATTGGGCAAAATAAACTACCGTAAGTTTCTGATACTACGTTCATTGACTTAAGCATCTAACTTGAGTTTCACACTGATCATATAAATTCCTAAGATTTTCTATATCCCTTACATTTCTAACAGGGAAAAGATTTAACAGTTTATTCATGTGAGCATTTATTACCAAATAGTTTCTCCCAAACCTGTTAATTAACAATTCTATAGCTGAATCGCAGTTCTCATGTGTAAGAGAAAGTCCGGAAAAGGCATTATATGCTATCTCACCTAATAACGACTTTAAGTAACTGAATTTATTTACTTTCGATAATGAGTCATTGTTATGGATAGCTGCCTCGAATTGACTCCAAAATTCCTGCCAATTGCTAGAATCACCAAAAAATTTAGAGATAGTCAATTTTGGAAGGCGAATAAATTTATTACTTTCAATTTTGAAATCTATAGCGGTTTCATTAGGAATGTTCATACTTTTTTTATCTGAATTTTCGAGTTTGTGTAATTCCCTCAATTTTTTTCTTGCTCTAAATTGCGACAGTTGGATTTTTTCTTCATATTCTAGAGCGGATGAAACTTCAAGTTCAAATTTATCCTCTACGACCTTCAAGTCCCGTTCTATTTGAGTGTTTAAATCACTCAGAGTTTTTGCTTTTTCGTTTATTATGTCTAAAGTTTCTTCTATTACATTTATACTAACGTCATCTTTGCTCAATTCTGTCTCAATTTTCTTTAGTACCTTAGACACTGCGGTCCTTAATACTTTGCGTTTCGATTTAAGCTTAGCGACAGGATCTTCCATAATTAATTTAAAATAGAAAACTTATCCTACCTGTTTTCAGGCTTCGCACACTTCACACCTAGCTAATCCATACTTACGAATCCATATTTTCGAATATTAGCCGGCTTCCCGGCCGATGCACCAAAAAATGTTTATATGTACGCACTAATGTACGCTAATCGAATCAACGAATGTCGCCGCCTACGCATCTAACTATGAATCAAACGATGTATCTAGATGCCACATTTAAATTTTTGCGAGCGGTGGTTCAGTTATAATTCTATGATCAAATACTCAATCTAAGTTTTAAAATGATTTATTAAATACTAAAAAAATTATGTAATCTAGAATCTAGAATCGAATCTAATGTTACATCTCATGAGCAGCGTTCTAGCTGCGTCATAACGATCGAAAGTCAAATTCTCACTGTTGCCATTTCGAGGCAGAGAAAAGTTTGTTTCTAATGAAACCGGAACATCGGCATAGTGAAAGTTTCTAGTCAAACCGGAACACTTACTATAATACAATAAAAAAAATCACAAATTTACGTTTTTAGAATTATCAACTTATTATATATTTAATAACAGTTTTAGAGTCATTAGGTTATTTTGAAGCGAAGCGTGAAAAATGTGCAATAACTTTCGCCGGGACTCGAACCTGGACCTCTCGAATACTCGCTAAGTGTGCTACCGTGACACCACGAAGGCATTCTGAAAGAAGGGAGAAAATACTTATACAGTATTAAACACAATTCTTATGACGACACTAATCGCTTCAAGAGAAGATGTAAATTTTGTAAAAATTTAATGTGAGAATATGAACATGAATTAAGAAGAATTAAAAATGTCTTTGCTGAGCGCAGATGAATAATACTAAATAAATTCATGGAGCAATATGGATATGAACAAAATAAAAGTATTTTTAAGTGGTATTAATATCTCTTTGCTTGAAAGCCCGAATAATACATTTTAAATCAGACGTAAATGTCGTACAGCTAGATATTGACATCGACAACAAAGCGAAACAACGGAAAAGAGTCTCAAATTGAACCTGACTAATAACAAAGCATTTTTTGAAATGGTACATCAACGGTACTTCTAAGAAGCAGAAGATTCTAATATAGGGAAAAGTGACGCAATTCTTTCGGATGTAGTTCTAATTTATGTAAATTAGTCAAAACAATTAAGTCTTAAGCTGATAAGTAATAAAAATGATCAATTTACGTTTGATAGACTTCAAGCTATTTTATAAAAAGGAAATGATTAACCAAAAAACTAAATTCATTGCAGGAATTTAGCAATAAGTGCTTCTGCAGTTTCTAAAGGAATTCCGTTATGAAAAATTTTCTTAATATGGTTATACGTAAGATCTGTTTTCTGTGCAATAAAGTATTTTAGAATTATCAGGAAATTAGAAATTATCATTATTATTTATTTAAAAAAAAATTTAAATAAAAACATTTTCTTAATGTTTTAATAAAGCAATTATTTTAAACGCTCAAAAACTAATTTTTAGCTTAAAATTAATATCATTTTAACAACGTCGTTTATCAACTTAAAATTAATTTCTTTTGTTAGTTTAGGAAAAAAGAAGTTTGAATATTAATTAGCCAGTTTCCTTCGTTTTAGAGCTTTTCTTTTCAGATAAAAAAATATCTTGAGAATGTAAGTTATTTTATTAATAAGCTGCAAAATATTTTTTTCGGATAAAAATTAGGTTCAAAGAATGTAATAGTTTTTTTACACAAACAAAAAATGCTTTACTAAATGTTATTTGAATACACACTTTTTATGTGTGTGTTTGTAAGCACTTTTAAATGACCTTTTTCTCACTATTTAATTATAATATGATGTATAATAAATACGTACGACATTTATTAATTATCTCGATTCATCAAGAAAACTCCAGTCGCGCTAAAATAATGTTATTGCTTTTAAATTTTGTCAAACTTAGAAAATGAATTAATGCCCCCCCTCCAGTTTGTTAGTGCTTTTTTAGGAATATAAAATTATTTGATTATTTCATAGAGGCGGCTTCTTAGAAATGTCTCTGTTTTCTTAAAAATGAACGTCATATTGTTTATTTTCAAATTTACACATTGGTTTAAAATCTGTTGATAAAATAGTTATAATAATATTACTATAAATATTATAATATATAAAAATGAAGCACTGCCTGTAGGCTTCCTATTCAATGGCTGTTAGTTCAATGACGCATTTAACCCTATTCTTCAGAAAAATCTGAAACCAGAACTGTTCAAGAACAGAAACTTTTTAAGAAGCGATAAAGGTATTTGACCACTACGAAAGGCAAACATGAAACACAAGTTTTTATTGGCTAAGATCACATTATATGACATTTCCATTGATCAAAGCTGAGCAATTGTTAGAATTAAAAAGAATTGTGAGGCTAGTGCAGTTTTGTTTTCAAGTATTGAATTTAGAAGTTTGTAATGATGTAGCAACATTTAAAGCATTAGAGGAACTGTTATTATTACTAAAATTCTAAACCTCTACTTGTGGTTTCCAAATATCTCAATTGTAACATTTCTAGGTGCTACTTGATTTTCACGGCCCCTGCGAGAACCCCCCAAATTATGTAAAAATCCGAATGAAGGGGGGGCTGTAAACACTTTCACTGTCTACTTGTATTTGCCGAATAAATACTAATAAATAATCAATTATAACAAATATTCATTGCAGCAATGCATCTGAAATAAATCTAATCATAAATAATGTTACAAATTTTGTACATCTGTAAATAACTTTAATGAAACTGTACGTGAAAT